CTACACAAGAGTCTGGAAAAGCTACAGCTCCATCCAAAAATATACTTGCAACTGCAAAAAGCTGCACTGCTGGGAACATGTAGGACAGTACGTAGGGTTTTAGGAGATGAGAACCGGATACGGTGAAAAAGACCGCTGCAGATCTATTTCCTTACTTTGGCTAACCGCCTGAGGGAAAGATTAATACCTTCGACAGAGGAGTAAAATAGTAATAAAAGAATAATCAGAATAAGAATATTTATGATAATAATAATAATAACAATAATATAATGTATAATAATAATTTAATAATAATAATAATAATAATAATAAATAATAATAAATAATAATAATAATACTAATAATTATAACAATCATAATAATAATAGTAGAATAAGAACAAGAATAAGAATAAGTATAATAGAAGAAGAAGAGCTTAATAATAATAAATAGCTATAATAATAAGAATAGTTATAATAATAAGAATAATAGTTCGAAGAATAAAAAAGCATGATAATACTAAGAATCATGAAGAATAATAATAATACTAATAGTTATAATGATAATATAAATTAAATAATAATATATCATGATAATAATATCAATAATAATAATATAATTATTATGAGTATAAGATTAATAATAATAATTATTATAGTAAGAATAATAATCATAATAATAATAATTATAATTACTATTATTATATAATATAATAAGAATAATAATAATAATTATAATAATAATAATCATAATAATATAATAATAATTATAATATAGTAATAATAGTTATAATAATAATATTAATTATATAATAATAATAATCATAATAATAATAATAATTATAATAATAATATTATAACAATAATAAATTATAAATAATTATAATAATAATAATAATAATAATAATAGTTATAATAATATCAATATAATAATAATAAATAATAATAATAATTCATAATTATAATATTAATTATATATAATAATATAATAATAATATTTATAATAATAAATAGTTATAATATTAATAATAATCATGATAATAATAATATAATAATAATAATAATATTAATTATAATAATAATAATTATAATATAATAATAATAATAATTATAACAATAATAATAATAGCAATAATAATAATCATGATAATAATAATTTCATTATAATAATGATAGTTTATAATAATAATCATAATAATAATAATATTATTATTAATATATATATAATAATAATCATAATAATAATAATTATAATTATTATTATTATAATAATGATAAGACTAATAATAATAATAATCATAATAATAATAATATAATAATTATAATAACAAGTTATAATAATATTAATAATAATATAATATCATAATAATAATTATTGTAATAATAATAATAATAATAATAAAAATAACAATAATAATAATTATAATAATAATATAATACTATATAATAATAATAATATAATAATAATAATTATAATAATAATAATTATAACAATCATAATAATAATATTTATAATAATAACAATAATAATAATAATAATAATTAATAATAATAATAATGTAGCCACATAGACAAAGAGAACCAATAGTCACACTCAGACGCTTGCAGTATAATGCCGCGTTTGAGGATACCACCTGCAGTAGCAGAGAATAGCTAACAGAAAACGGAATAATAATAGCTATAATAATAATAATAATAGTTATAATAATAATAATGATAATAATAATAATAATAGTTATAATAATAATAATAATTATAATAATAATAATAATAATCATGATAATAATAATTATAATAATAATAATGATAGTTATAATAATAATAATCATAATAATAATAATAATAATAATAATAATAATAATTATAATAATGATAATAGTTATAATAATAATATTAATTATAATAATAATCATAATAATAATGTCTGGCCGGTTAGGACACTGTTGCCAGCTGTGTCAAACCCGCTACCGTAGCAACAACAAGGATAGACGGTACAGCCAGCGATCCTCCAGTGTGTGCCAGGGGTTTTTGTGTCTCTTCCTCCTGGTGCAGGAAAACATATCATGTGCAGAATGTGTACATATCGGCTCCTAGATGGAGTCGTATAAAAAGAGCCACACCCATAATTTCTTTATGGAGATGAATTTTGAATATAGCCTCGGAAAAAGGTCGCTGCCTGAGGGTGATCGTCAGGGCATATCTGGAGCCGGCGCTGGATATGACAGCAAGCGGGACGTCGGTGGCAGGGTGCTGAGGAGGCGGGCCCCTGTCGTCCAAGAAGCAACAGCCCCCCAACAAAGTGGTAGCCAAACAACAACTAGTGCCACCGCTGCCGAAAGTGCTGCACAGGAGTCTCAGCCAGTGCTCACTCAAGCAGGTCTCCCTAGAAGACGTATAAAGTGGACGGTGTCCATGAATGAGTCAATCATGCGAATCTTCTACAAGTTACCAACCTAGGTAGAGAAACAATCGGCTTTCTGTAGTGAATATCCGGAGATCAAAGTATCTGAGCAGAGAGTGGCAGACCAATATCGAGTGATAATCAAAAATAATCTTATCCCACAACCAAGACTGAATGCCATCAAACAGAAAGTGCAGCTTGATCTTATGCAACAAGAAGGGAGTAATAACGAAATACGCGATAATGGTCAATCTGAGCAAGAACAGATAGAAAGTGAACAGCCTGGAGTTGACGACAGTAATGGTCAAGACACAGAAATATTTGGTATATTAATAACTGAAATGGGTAGAGCATATGCCGAATTTGATGGAACGAACCCGGTAGAAAGACCACCATTACCAAAGTTGAAGTCATCTAGAAAGCTTGCTGTGGTATTGTGTCAGTTAAATAAACAGATCCTGCCAGAGTATCTAGCACACTCCAACTGTATAGAACAACTTCACACACTGATATACTGTGCAGCTGTTGCAACAGTAAGAACACTTGGTGTCAAAATGCCAACTCAAAAGATTACTGAAAATTCAGTAAAACCAATAACACCAAAATGGGAAAAACGTCTGGAAAGAAGAACGGCAGACATTCGCAGAGATATCGGACGTCTTACCCAATTCACACAAGGAATAACAACTCGAAAAGTCCGAAAACAAGCTATGGAAATCCATCATTCTCACCAAGACGCAACTAACATCAACGAGTGGCAATGCCTTGATACCTTGAAGCAAAAACTGTCCGTATATACTCAGCGATTGAAAAGGTATAAAGCGTCCAGTCACAGAAAGCACGACAATGCGCTCTTTCAACGATCCGAAAAGGCATTCTACAGGAAACTGTCATCCGAACCCCGAGGAAAGAGCAAAACAGTGCCCACAAAGGACCAAGTAGAGGAATTTTGGGGCAAGCAGTTTGGCGCGACAGCTTATTACAACAAGTGTGCAGGATGGATTACAGATGAAGAAGCGAAGAGCTATTATTGCAATCCCATGCAGTATAGGGCATATACCAACAAGAAATCGTGGATATCGTTAAGCAGTTGCATAACTGGAAGGCCCCGGGCCCAGACCAGATTCATGGCTACTGGATAAAGAAGCTTTGGTGCATGCATGAACAACTAACAAGATATATCAATGACATGCTTTTGAATCCAAATAAGACTCCAACGTTCCTAACACAAGGGCTAACGGTATTAATACCAAAAGATCTCATAATACAGAAGACCCAGCAAAATACCGCCCAATTACCTGCCCTTCCTACACTATACAAGGTGGTCACTGCTTGTATATCGAAACGATTTATGCTCATTGTGAAGAAAACGATATTATTGCGCCACAACAAAAGGCTGTGCTAAGGGAGCTATGGGATGCAAAGAACAGCTGGCTATCGATTCAGTCATCGTAACCAAGCCTATACCAACAAAGGAACCTATACATTACGTACATCGACTATCAGAAGGCATACGATTCTGTACCTCATGAGTGGCTTGTCAGGGTGCTGAGGCTCTATAAGGTAGATGAGCATGTAGTGGCCCTATTAGAACATATGCTGAAGACCTGGAGAACCAGAATACACTGCATACAAACGGGACCAGCACCATTCAAACTGAGACGATCTCTATCCGAAAAGGTCTCTTTCAGGGTGATTCATTAAGTCCCCTATGGTTCTGCCCTAGCTATAAATCCCCTCTCAAACCTCTTAAATAGCAACAGGGTATGATATAGTCTGAAAGATAACAGGAACGCATCCATAAAACTGAACCACTTGCTGTATATGGACGACCTAAAGGTAATAGCTGCTACTGAGAATCAAATGAAACAGCTGCTAGAGATAGTCGGTTCAGTTCTCAGATGACATAAGTATGCGATTTGGGATGGATAAATGCAAAACCTTATCTATACGTAGGGGGAACATCTACCCTGGAGGATTTCAAGCTGCAGAGGCCAAAACATTGACGCAATGGACGCAAATGACACATACAAGTACCTTGGAATGGCGCAGGCCCGAAGGGATAGACCATAAAAAAAATGAAGGAAGCTATATCGCAGACCTTCACAAAAAGATACGGCTACTTCTGAAAACAGAACTCAATAGTAAGAATCTAGTCAAGGCGATTAACACCTACGCATGCTCTGCCTTGAACTACTCGTTCGGTATAGTTCTGTGGAGTAAAACTGACATCGAGAAACTAGAGAGGCGGGTAAGGACTATGCTAACAAAAAAAGGAACGCACCATCCTCGCAGTGCAATAGAGCGCACAACCTTACCCCGACAGTTTAGGAGGAAGAGATCTAATGGACATCAGCAAGCAGCTAGCTCAACAGGTACTCGCCTTGCGATCCTACTTCTTTGAGAAGGCCGAGATCTCTGAGCTGCATCGCATCATATGCTCAATAGATGACACAACGCCCTTACACCTTAGTAGACGAGATGACCAACCGAGTCACCAAACCAACGAACAGAAGCTACAACGATGGATTGAAAAACCTCTACATGGGAGACATGCCAACGAGATAACCAAGAAAACGTTGACAAGAAAGCGTCAAAACTATTGGCTTACCTCAGGCCAAATGTTCCCTGAGACTGAGGGATTCCTTGTAGCTATACAGGACCAGGTCATCCCTACCAACAATTACAAGAGGTTTCATACTTAAGAACTGGCAACAGACTGGATAAATGCAGGTACGGCTGTCAGGACTCCGAAACAATACAGCACGTAACTGGTGGATGCCAAGCATTCGCTCCAACGGACTATAAGGAGCGCCACGACATAGCTGCCAAAATCATTCACCAGGAGTTGGCATACAAATTCAAACTGATCGAATGCAAGCTACAGTACTACAAATATACACCGCAATGTGTCCTCGAGAACGACAAGTATAAACTATACTGGGATCGCACTGTGCTTACGGACCAATACATAAAACAAAACAGACCTGACATAATCATTGTCGACAAGGGCGCCCAGAAAGTAACTCTGACTGATGTGGCCATACCTAATAGTAACAATTTAACATACAAGCATAATGAGAAAGTTGCAAAATACAGGGAGCTAGAATTTCAAATTAAACGCCAGTGGAAAATGAAGTACGTGGAAACAATACCAATAATAATGTCATCTACAGGGGTGATACCAAGAAGGCTGCTAGAAAACATCAAAGCGCTGGAACTGAGTGAAAACATTTACAAAATCATACAGAAAGGAGTTTTGCTGGCAACTGCCCGCGCATAGTAAGAAAATTTATGGGAAATGCAAGTACCTAGGGAGGTCACTATTGAGGCTTACCCCTTTGATGCTTGAAACGTCCGGGTTAAGCCAGAACACCCCGATTAACGGGAGTAACAAAGCCCTACGGCTAAAAAAAATAATAATAATAATTATAATTATATTATTATAATAATAATAATAATTATAATAATAATAATATAATAATAATAATAATAATATAATAATAATAATACGACCCGGGCTTAAGGGAAGGTACATGGGGAGCGTCGCCCCCACGGCCCTAGACGGGGAGTTCGGGATTTGGTAGTCTTCTTATTCTGCCAAACCCTGAGCTGCACCATTGTTCGGAGGCAATGTGAAAAATAATTAACTGTAAATGAATACGAGAAGTAAGACGAAACTACGAGGCGGGAAGGTGATTGAGGCTGGTCCCTTCTTCGGAAACCGTCGTGATGCTCAGCCTGAAGGAGGAGTGAAGTGTGTG